GTATAATGGGATCTTTTTTTAAAAAAAGTGGCATGGAGCAGGAGTCACCAGACACTGAAGCATAGGAATTAAAGCACTTTCTAAAATCCTTAACTTAGGTCTAGCGCCTTTTTAAAAATATTTGCATGCTGCTTGAATCTTCTAAAACACATACCTCTGCCAGAGCACCTGGGGCTGCGCCGGTGCCTTTTCCAGATCAGAGCAGGCAGTGCTCAGTCAGTCTGGGGTGTCAGGCTGCCCTCGCTGGAGTTTCAGTGAAGCACCTGTGTACCTGGACCTCTCTCCTGTCCGTGCTGGGCAGTGTGCACCAGCCTTTAAACAGCTGAGTGGAATTCCTGGGGGTCTGTTCTTGCTGTGTTCAAACACAGACTGGAAAAGAGAACCTGCAAAAGCCATAATTAGCTACAGAGATGGAACTGAAATGAGAACGCTGGTGTGCCTGCTGCACTGTGCAGTGGGGGTTGAGTCGCTGGGATCCAGGTGCTTACTGCCTTCTCCAGCCCCCTTTCTTTTTGAAGAGGTGACCCAGGATCCTTCTATGGGCACAGCTGTCGATGGCAACTCTCAGCTCCTTGGAGATACGCCCACCTCCGCCTTCTCGTAGGTGATCTGTAGAAAAAGAACCTGTCCATAGTTCTGTCCATAGTTTTACAGCTTATATTTATTTGTATCATCTCTTTTGTCTAGGAATGTAAAGTGATCCGAAAATAAAATGTGTAATAAAGTCAATAAGATTTATTGCATCTATCCAAACGTGTGTTTTTCATTGTTAATTTGGGGCAGGGCTCAGTTACTTCATGTTTACAATGCTTCCTGTTATTTTTCTTTCATTAAAAAAAAGTCTGTGCAAAGTAAGCGGAAAAATATAAATATGAGTAGAACTGCAATGAGTATTATAATGTGTATGTGTATTAAAAAAAAAAAATATATCTATATATATATGAGTAGAAGGTGCTGATGCCTGCATGTGGCACTTTGGGAACCAGAAGTGCTGGTGGAACCCTGCCAGAATCCCAGTCCAGGGTGGGCTCCTGCAATGGGTGGTGCTGATTTAAACCAGTCTTTTATTGGCACCATGGGGAGAAGGAGCCTCGGAGTATAACCACGATGTCCAGAGGAGGGAAACGAAGGTGGGGAAGAGCCTGCAGCACATGTGCTGTGGAGGAGCCGGGGGTGTTCACCCTGCAGAAGGAGGCTCCAGGTGCCCTTTCCACCCTCTCCACCTCCGTGAAAGGAGGCTGTAGCCAGATGGGAGTCGGGCTCTTCTGCCAATCGGTGACAGCGTTAAACAGTGCCAGGGGACGTTTAGTTTGGACATCAGGAAGAATTTCTTGAGAGAAAGGGCCGTGAGGTGTTGGAAGGTGCTGCCCAGGGAGGCGGTGGAGTCGCCGTCCTGGCGGTGTTTAAGGAAAGACGGGACGTGGCGCTCAGCGCCCTGCTCTGGTGGCCATGGTGCTGTCGGGTCATAGGTTGGACTCGCTGATCTCAGAGGTCTTTTCCAGCCTAGCTGATTCTGTGCTAACCGGGATGTTGGAACACCAATCGCCGCAGCCCTCGGCCGCGGGGGCTCAGCCTCGAGCCCTCAGCTCCAGCTCGGTCCCGCAGCCGCCCCCGGCCCGGGCGGCGCCACTTCCCCGCCGCGGCCATGCGGCGGCAGCGGCCTCTCCCGCCATGCAGCGCGGCGGCCGCCGGGACTTGTAGTCCGCGTGCTACAGCGGTGCTGCGCTGGGCTCGCGCAAGAAAACTACAACTCCCGGTGGTCCTTGCGGTTTGTTTTCCTTCAAACCAGCCCCAGGCCCGCCCCTCCGGTCCCTCCCCTCCGGTCCCTCCGTGTCCCGCCGCGGCCACCGTCGCCGGGCCCCGCCGCCCCGCCCCGCTCCCGGCCCTTTGACCCCGTTGTTATGCCGGGCCCGAGTCGCCGCCGCCGCCGCCGTCTCCCGTAGCGCCCGGAGTCGCCCCCGCCTCGCGCCCCGCCCGAGATGAAGCAGAGGAGGAAGAAGGAGCGCACGTGGGCCGAGGCCGCCCGCCTGGTGAGGCCGGGGGGGCGTCCAGGGAGGGGGCGCGGGGGCTCCGCCGTGCCTCAGGGCCTCCCCGCCGCGTCCGGCCCCTCCCCGAGTAACGGGGCCGGCGGCGCCGCCATCGCTTCTGAGGGGGCGAAAGCGGGGGCCGGGTCCGCCTGGAGGGCGCGGGCGGTGTTGCCGGTTCCCCGCCCGGTCCCGCGGCTTCCCGCGGTTCCCCCAGCGGCCGCTGTGGCCGGGCTCTCCTGCACGGTTGTTTTTCTTCCTCAGCCCGGTGCGAAGGAGATGCGCCCCGGGGCGGTGCGAGCGCGGCCCCCGGCCCTCCGCGGCGAGCTGCCCCCGCCGGGGGTCCCAGCGGCCTCCGCCGCCTCCCGCCGGGCGGGGCTGCGGCGGGGCCCGGGGGTGCCGCCGTCCCGCAGCCGTTCCGTGCCGGGCAGGGCTGCGGGGACGGTTCCGCTCATTTTCTTCCTTTCAGATGATTTTAAAGCTCCGTGGGAGGAACCGGAGCCTCCGGAGAGGGCACGGCCGCTGTCAGAAGTTTGTGGTTTAATTACCGAGGGTGCGGGGTCCTTCTGAGCACCGGCAGCGCCCGGGGGCCGGTGGAGTGCGCCGGGCTGCTGTAGCAGCAGCTGGGCTGAACATCCCTGAATCAGCCCGTATTTGGTCACTTTTGGGTTTAGGAGACGTGGCCATTGAGATGTCTCAGTCCTTTTGTCTTAAAGAATCTCCTTGTGGAAGGATTCAAGGTGCAAACCCAGCTCTGCTCTGGCGGTGTCTGTGGCAATGCCACTGTCATTGCACCGATGCACTGGGAGGAAGGTGGCTTCCATCTGTGAAGGCTTTGAGCTGGATCTGTCTTGAACCTCCGTTATGAAGTAGTAAATCTAAAAAATATAAATAACTTCAGTGTCTCTCAGGGAGCTAGTCAGAGGTTTGATTTAAGGGCTGCCTGCCGAGGTGTTTAGGCTGGCTGGCATTGGGTGGAAGGAGCTGGCTCTCTCCTGGTGACCCAGTGACACAGGTACAGCAGTGCCAGGCATGGAGTGAGGGATGATCCAGCTACTATGTGAATGGATCCTGCCGTTCCTCCCCACAGCCCTGTCAGTGGTGTACAGCTTGTGAGGATACTTGTGTTCCCTCTGTGTAGCCCCTGGACTTCTGCCGAAGTGGATTTATGGGGCTTGAGGGTGGTTTGTTTCCTTGTTTTTTCTCTTGTGTTTGTTTTGGTTTGCTAGCCCAGGTTATACATCGAAGCATGTAAACATTCAGAAGGAACAGTGTGGGTGAGTCCAATGAGGCTCATGTTTTGTACTGAGGATGTTCAGGATAACTCTTGGTGCTTCTGAGTAAGATTTTTTTGGCTATTGGAGTGTTTTCTTACTGCTTGCCAGGAGAAAACCTAATCAGACAAGCATCTGACTTCCAGCAACTTGCATCATCTTTTGTGTGTAAATTATAATATTTTAGACCCATGTGGCTTTGCTTGAAAAACTGGAGAAGAGCATAAGGCAGCTACTGTGGAACTTCACAGCAGGAGCCTGGTGGTCTCATTCTCCATCCTGCATTTCTTCTTAGGATCCAGGTTCTTTGAACCAGGTGTGTCACTGCAGATGGCAGGGATGCTTTTCTGACAGGTGACCCTTGGGGGCAGAGGCTGTGCTATGTGACCTTGCACAAAGTCAGCTCATTCAAACATCCTGAGCTCTGACAGGTAAAAAAAAAAAATCAGAATTTATAGGATGCCCAAAGCAGCACATGAGACTGTAAGTCTAAAGCAGTCACCTAATGCACCTCATCACCCTTGTGTGGTGGGGAAGGCATTTCTTCACACAGTTCCTCTCACCTGTCTTCTGGCCAGGACGTCGGGCACAGTGGGTGCCTGAGATGTCTAAGCCTCAGCAGCATCTTAGAGCCATTGATGAACCAGAAATAGCACGATCTCATACTAGATTATCCACTTAAAGAGACCTACAGTTGCGTAGCTGCACTTCCAGCTTGCAGGACTGATTGTAAATCCACTAAAAATAGATCTTTATTTCACACTAGGCTTACACATGCTCCCTGTCAAAATGCTTTTAATTTCCCTCTCTGACGTGTGCTGGTGTATTTTGTATTCTGCGCAACGTTTCTGAGAATCACAGGCAAAAATGTTCTTCAGTGTTGCTCCTCCTACAGAGCTAAAACTCTGCACGTTCCATAAAATAAACTTTAAAGGTTCATCTGGATGCCCAAAGCCATGGCAGGATCCCACAAGTGCTGTCAGAGCTAGATGACCAGTAAATTGGGAAAGTCATGTAAACTTCCATAATTAGGGGCACAGGAACCCTCAGCTACCACTGCTGTGAATAGTGGAGGGGGGAAAATTCTGTTTTGGGGGTAAAGAATAGCCAGTGTTGAAGTTGTAGCTCTGGGTGGAGGGCTGATGTGGTGCTGGGAGTGTCAGGCTGGGGAGGGATAGAAGGGGCAGTGCTGGAGACTGGGATTTGGTGTCTGAAGCTTGCAGGATCCTCTCCTCCAGTTCTTCCATTAAGTGCTCTGTATACTTAATACAGCTCTTGATTGGAAATTGTTCCCCTGAGCATAGATTCTTTTATCCGTATGTAAATGCTCCTTTGTGCTCAGTTTTAGGCCACATACTTCACTTGCTGTGTCTGTCACTGGAGAGAGGTTTGAATAATTCCCTGATTTTTTGGAACAGACGTGTTGTATTTTGCAGATCTCGCTGGGCTCGGGAGCAACGAGTTTCCCCGTGTCAGCTGTCTGCAGCCTTTGAGTGATGGGGTGACAGCTCAGGAGGGAGGCATGGAGACCTTGTAACCTGTGGAGGGAAAAAAAAGTGTGATGGAGCTGTATGGAATTTAATTAGTTTATTCTCTCTGAATATGGCTCATCACTTGTTTTGGTTTTTCTTTACGCTCTTTGTGTTTTCATTGGGTTTTAAGTCAGTTTTCTAATTCTCTTCCCCATGAGGTTCTTACTCTTTGTGTTTTCATTGGGTTTTAACTCAAGTCAGTTTTCTAATTCTCTTCCCCATGAGGTTCTTATCTCATTCTCAGAAGCTTGTGAGCTTCAAGCATCTGCAGAATACCTGTTGGGTGCATATGATTACAGAAATTCCATTTGTAGAGTCAAGGTTTAGATTGGAAGGACCTTTAAAGATCATCTTGTTCCACCCTCCTGCCACAGTCAGGGACAGCTTCCACTAGTCCAGGCTGCTCCAAGCCCCATCCAGCCCAGCCATATCACAACCTACAGCTGAAGTGCAGAACTGCACTTGGGTTTTTCATTACTTGTGGAGGGCGGAGATGGTCTGAGGTGCAAACGTTGGCCTGCACAGCTTTGGGGTGATTTTGCTCGTGTCCCATTGGCGTGGCTGCTGCAGTGACTCACTTCTAGATGTTACTGGTAGAAATGGGGCGTCTGTGTCCTTCCTCTGGCTTCCCACACGAGTCAGACAGAGACAGCGCCGTGTTGCTGACTCCTAAAGCGTGGGGACAGGTGACACCGGGGCTGTGCACCGTGTGGCCGTGACGCTGGGGGAATTTAGACCGTGGTTATGAAAAAGTTCCTGAATGAATTCCTGTTGCTGCTTTCCATGCCTGTTCCAGGCCATGGCCTGTGCCTGTCCCAGGCTCTTTTTGCTCGTGGCCCCGGGTCTGTGGAGCTGGGTGCCTTTGCATTCCAAGAGCAGCACTGTCTGCTGCCGGCAAGGCGCAGGAGCCGGCGCGTGGTCGGCAGCTGTGGGGTAATCTGCTCCCGAAGAAACTGAGTGGTTTACATCTACTGCAGCTTATTTTTGCTCATTGTTTCCTGTTTATGTGGATAATCTTCTTATCCACAGAAATGTCCGGTCCTCTCTTTGAATCCTTGAGTTTTTGCTTGTAGACATTTCGGAGCAGTAAGTTCCACAGGCTTAAAAAAAAATAGAGTAATAACCTCTTTACTTTGTATATAAGTGACAATTCTATTCTTGTTATGATATATGAAAGGATGAGTTGTTATTTATTGTGTTGCCTTTTAATATCTGATTTTCTTCATTTTATGTCAAAGGGAAGCACTCTTAAGTCTTTTTAGTGTCTCTAGGCAATTTTTTTTTCCCATTTTTTGTCCTTTTCTGAATTCTGTCCTTCTCTGACATGAATTCTGACTCTAAACTTGTGGTTCCCTTCCTGGGATGGAGTGAAGATGAAATGAATGCAGTAATCTGAGGAAGGTACAGTATTGGATTGTATAGCTGCACAGCAATACTTTTAGTGACAAAAAACCACTGGATGCTTTGTGGAGAGGTAGGAAAAGGGTTTACATGGTTACGGGTCACCACTGTTCAGTTTGGAAGGCTTATGTGGCAGCAGCTCCATCTATTGTATAGTGAAGTCTGGTAAAGCTTCCATTGGGTGGGGTCAAGGCCAAATTCTGCTGCTTTTTCTCCTCCATGTTTGTATTTCAATTAGTTGGGGAAGAGATGAAGGTGAAGTCTTTTGTGGCTTTGATACATGTTCACCAGGATCTTGAGGTAGCCTGAAATTTTACTGTGTCTTTGCAGGTGAATCAAGTTTGAGGGGGCACATTATTGGGTCGGGGCCACAGCTGATGGAGTAGTTCTGGGAATGCAGAAGGCAATTCTGTAATGACACTTGGTCTTTCTGTCTTTTCAGGTGCTGGAAAATTACTCAGATGCTCCTATGACCCCAAAACAGATTCTGCAGGTCATAGAGGCTGAAGGTCTAAAGGAAATGAGGTTAGTATTGATGATTTTGTCTAAACCACTGTGCAGCATGGGGGAGGCAGTGTATGAAGGCTGGTGTTGCTTCATACAGTTCTGCCTCATCCCCAGCCCACTTTGCTTCCCTTTTTCTCTTTTCAGCCTGGTAATTTCAGATGACAGTACAGACATTTATATACAGATTGTGAGGGATTCTTTTTCACTGATAATAACTGGAAGATGTTCTTGGATTTTTAGATAATATACAGAGTCCCTTCCTCCATCTATTGTGAAGTAAATGCCTCTTGCAGATCAGGCTCCTGCATTGTGCTGTACTTACCACTCACTCCCATGGTTCTCACATAAGTAGCTCCCAGCAGTTTGTGCTATTGTGACTTGAGTTTGAGAACAGTTTATCTCCTCTGATGCTTCATTTCTAGAGCAGACATTATGTTTTAGAAGAGACAGTCTTCTCTATGTCACTGGCTTGTGCTCAGATTCTTGAGCACCAGGAGAGCACAGTTCACATCACAGGGTTGTGGCTCTTGACACATTGCAGGAGGACATGTCCATCTCAGAGTGGATTTCATGTGGAAAAGAACCTGATACAAAGCCTTGAAAAGGGCAGAAGTGGGAGACTGCTTTCCTTGGTTAAGTTCCTGTGAGTTTCCATCTGTTTCCATGACAGTAGTAGAAATACAGAGTGTCTTGCAGCTCAAAGAAAGTGGGTAACTGTGATAGTCCAAATGCCTCAGTTACTGCTGCCTGGCATAAAAAAAAAAAGAAATTTGACTACCAGAGACACGAAAAGCTGCTGTCCAGGGATGGACTTCTGACAAATCCAGATGCAAGGACTGTTTCTAGTCTTGCTTCTGCCTCCCTTTGTTTCTGTGGACTGTTTTTCACTGTGGTGTTTGCATTTCCTGAACCTGTATTTTACCCAACTACAGAAGGTAAACTGATTTCTTCTGGGACCTAAGTGTTAGCTTGTTTCTGCTCCTTGTTTGTGTGAAATCAGGAAGCAGCTGGGGTTTTGAATAGTGAAAATCAGTGACGTGTACAGAGGTGTTGGGTGTGGGACCTGCTGTTGTTTGGAGAGACATGAGGCTGGTGTGTGCTGCTGCATCAGATTTGGAACTGTTGGAACACTCACCTTCCATGGGCTTACAAGAAGGCTGGGGAGGGATTTTTCACAGGGGCATGTAGTGGTAGGACAAGGGGCAATGGACTTCAGGTGAAGGAGGGTAGATTTAGATTGGGTATTAGGAAGAAATTCTTCCCTGTGAGGGTGGTGAGGTCCTGGCACAGGCTGCCCAGAGAAGCTGGGGCTACTCCAGCCTTGGAAGTCTCTGAGGCCAGGCTGGACAGAGCTTGGAGCCACCTGGTCTGGTGAAAGGTGTCCCTGCCCATGGCAGGAGATTTGGAACAAGATGGTCTTTAAGGTCCCTTCCAACCCAAACTGTTCTGTGATTCTGTGATGCTCTCTGAGATCTTCTCTGGTTCGGATATGGGCTGTGGTTTCAGTAGAATTCAGACAGATTTTAATGAGGATCTTCATAAGAGGGGCTTTGCTTTAATCAATCTTCTACAACTCTCTCATATAAGTCCTGTTACCTAAGCAGGCAGTTGAAGATCTCTGCACAGGCTGTCCCCTGCCAAAGATAATAGCAGGGCTCTTCACACACATAAATTATCCTGTGCTTTCCCAGTTTTTACAAGTGACCTGTCACACTGTGTAAGTAAAGACCAGACTTCAGAGCATGTGTCATGTTAAATCCCACAAACCTAACTCATTCCTTTAAAGGTCGATAGTTTCCCTTGGGATATCTGCTTTTCCTTCCCTGGTCATTAATTCTGTGCTTTAAGAAAAGACTGTTTTCTTCAGAGCGTGATTGTTTGCAGAATAAAGGCAGTGAGCCTGCCTGGCTGACTGTGCAGAGGGCTTTGCTGGTGCTTGTATAGAAGCTCTTCCTGAAACTCCATTTCCTGAAGGAAATAGCTCAGTGCCTTGAGATGTTTTTCCTTCTGAATCAATTCTGAGGTGGGGCTCCCTGGTTGGGGGGTCACGCTGCTCTGCTGGGAGGGCTGTGTTCCATACCAGGCATTGACATTCCCATGAGCCAGTACCATGCTGAGTTGAGCTCCTGGTAGGGTTTTAACTGCTTGGTTTTTTTCTTGTTTTGGGGAAAATTACTTAGTTTGCTGTTTTAAGAGAGCTCTGTGGCTGGTGGCTGTGCTTGGAGTGTCTGGTAAACACAGAGGGGAAAACACTGTCTAACAGGACAGAAGGCTGGAAATTTTGTTCACATGATCTGAAAGTGATACAGGGTAACTTTGCCTGTTGCCGTGGTATATGAAGAAATGTCCAAAACCCAAGCACATACAGGGTGGAAACAGAAATTCTATGTTTTCAATTTGACAATGGTTTTCGTTGAAATGTTTTATCTCAGTCCAATTTTCAGTTTCACTTTTAGTGGGAATGCAGTCGGTAGTGCTGTAATGTGTCTTCCAGACAACTTTCTGCTCGTACATGTGGGACTTACTGGAAAACACCACATTATGTGGCACAGTGTGAGTGTAGGATGGGGCTTTAACCAGGGAGTTTTTTAGGAATTAACAAATGAGGGCATCAGAGCCTTTGTATTGAGCTCTGCTCTAGTAGTTTGATTAGTGACATACCAGGGAGACATTCCAGTAACATGTGTCTCTACAGTTTGTTTCATCTTTCTACTGCTGAATAAATCTGGGGGTTTTGTAAAATCAGTGCAGCACTGAAGGATTCCAGGAGAGGAGGGGAGGAAACAGGTAATAAAAGTTAGAAATGTCTAAAAACAGACGAGGATGGCTTTAAAATTGGTGTCACATTTACTGTTTGCTGTGATGTGCAAGGCTGATGTACAGGTCAGAATGAAACCAGTGACACTGTTCTGACTGAAGTGCCTGTCCCATAAAGTTAATAGCATCACCTCTGTTCCCCTCATCAGCTAAAGGATGCCCATTTAACCAGATCTTTCAGGCTGTTTTCATGGTGATCTGTTTCCTAAACTCTCTCCTTTCTCTGTCTGTGTTGCAGTGGCACATCTCCCCTGGCCTGCCTCAACGCCATGCTCCACTCCAATTCCCGGGGAGGGGATGGGCTCTTCTACAAACTGCCTGGACGCATCAGCCTTTTCACACTCAAGGTAAATGCTGAGCTCTGCTCCCAGCTGAGGGCTCAGGGGTGGGTTCTGCTCCTTGTGCAGGGCTGAGTGTTACCCTGTCACTGAGCATCATGAGCAGTGAGATCATCATGTGAGAGAGGGTCTGGAATTCATGATTTCCTTGGAGCTTGTACCTTTCAACTGTATTCAGCCATCTGTGATAAATGTCTTTAAAAAAACCTCAGCTGTTATTTCTTGAATCCTCTTACTGCAGTACCTGGTGTCCAGCTTAGGTGGCTGTTCATCAGAACAGATCTGTGCACTCCCTTGCTGCCAGCCACAAGGGAAAACAGCCAACCAAGGAATTGGTCCAAGAGCTTGTAGTGACAAGTAAAATCTTGATAGGAAAATGTATATTCATTCTTCTGGCTGCTTGTTCTGTGATCCACTGCATTCTGTGTTATTTTACATCAGTATTTTCCTCAGATCTTAAAATCTCTCTGGAATGCTTTTTTATTTTTAGTTTATTGTTCCAGTAATATTAAATATTGAAAGTGTTTCTGTTCCTGAGGTTTTCTTTTGCATTGTTTTGTACTGTTGGATTCTGTGATAAATATCAACTTGGTAGATCTCAGCTATTTCATTTCCATCTTTTTTCTGCTGTTAGAAAATCCTGTTGAATTGACACATTTTGCTGAAAATAGGTGGCATTGAAATGGCTTTTATTGTACAAGTAGGAAATACATCTCCTAAGCTTGCTGTCTTAGTGTTTGGCCGCTCTGATGTTACTTGTTCTCATAGTGAGATGCTCCTCTTTAATAGGAAGTCATTACTTACAGAAAATTACGACATATTATGAACATGTCTAAAAAATTAATTATTATTAACCTGGTATTTTGGATATTTACTTGTCTAGGAAGGGGCTATGAAGTACACTTAGTTTAGGTGACTTCTGTTCTGCTATGAGCCCAAATATACTTTACCTTTCTGCATCAAGGATTAAAATAGGAACACTATGAGCCCAGATATACTTTAAAATACCTTTCTGCATCAAGGATTAAAATAGGAAGAAAATTGAAGGTTAAAGTATATCCTGTTAACTGTCTGATCCCATTGGTGTAGATTTGGGAGGGAGGGAGGGCTGCAGCCACCCCAGTTCTGTTCCCCCTCTAGAAAGATGCCTTGCAGTGGTCCCGGAACCTGTCAGTGCCAGAAGGGGAGGAGCTGGAGGACACAGCAGATGCAGAAAGCTGTGGGTCCAACGAAGCCAGCACTGTGAGTGGTGACAACGATGGTAAGTGTCTGGTGACATTAACCTTAATCTCCAGGACCTACTTCTGTGTCTGACTGAGAGCTCATCTCTTTCAGTGTCTCTTGATGAAACTTCTTCTAACGCCTCGTGTTCCACTGAATCTCAGAGCAAGGGACCTGCTACCAGGGAGAGCTACAGAACTGCTTCCCAGGTAGGAAAAAGTGGGACTCATGGGAAGGATGAAGCCTCTCAAGGGGAGCTTTCATTACTATTGGGGGGGTATGACAGGGACTATTTGTGCATAAGTGCCTCAGAGATAGTTATGGGTCTGTCTTCTTGGGCAAGAAGTGGCAGAATGGTGAGGGATCATGTATGGGAAGACAATTTTGAATTCTCTGCTAGTCCTAAATGTAGTGTTGCCTGAAGATTCAGCTAGGAGGAGCCAGGCAGCTCTTTAACTGAGGAACATGCTGCTTAGAAGATTACTATACTCTTCCGTAATGCCTTCATTCCTTTGTTTTGTTTTTGGTTTCTCTCTGGTCTGCAGACAACCAAACAGAAGAAAAAGACAGGTGTGATGCTGCCACGGGTGGTGTTAACCCCACTGAAAGTAAACGGGGCACACATGGAGTCTGCCTCAGGTGAGCATGGCTTTGGGGGGTCCTAATGACCTCACAGATCTCTCAGACAGTCCCCAGTCATCAGTGCTTGCCTGTATTTCTGTAACACCTGCTGAGAAAGAGTGAGACTGCAGAGTTGTGTGTGTGTTTAACTTACTCAAAATAGTTGGTACCTGGCAATACCCTGTAATAGCAGATTGAGTAGTAACAGAGAATTCCTGTGTGATAAACCACTCTCCCAGTTGGTCTTTGACTGTTCTTTGCATATTTTTATGATGTTGTTTTGCATTTAGGCTTCACAGGAAGGCACGCTGATGGGGAGAGCAGCAGCACATCCAGCAGCAGCAGCAGCTCCTTGGCCCTGTGCAAAACCAGCCTGCGCAGTAGGACAGAGATTAACAGGGATCCTCCACAGCTGCTGAGGGGCATCCGAAAGCCCACGGCTGGTACGTGCTCCTGGGCAAAGGCAGAAGAATAATTGGTGATGGTGAAGTCCACATGTATCTGAGAAAAGAGCAGCAGGAGGCATTTGGTGACATGAGGTCACAGGCCAGGCTTTCCACTTTCGAGTGTTAGTGATAGAATTGTTTAAAAGTTTGCCTGGTCTGAAGAGCAGCATTGAGAATGGTACCTGAATATGTCAAAACTGTGACCTCGTGTCAGAATTCCAGATGTGTGTTTGTTAATTACTGCACTGGAGAGTCATTCTTCACTGAATACTGCAGTCTTTATCATCTCTCTTGCTCCATGTGTTATTGCAGTTTGACATAAATTTCAGCCCATAATGCTGAAATACTTCTGTACAACAACATTAATTTTATTTGCCTGTCCTTAAACTCCAGGACAAATGAAACGTAACAGGGGTGAGGATATTGACTTTGAAACCCCAGGCTCCATCCTTGTCAACACAAACCTGCGAGCGCTGATCAACTCCAGGACCTTTAACGCGCTTCCATCACACTTCCAGCAGCAGCTGCTTTACCTCCTGCCTGAAGTCGATAGACAGGTATGAGCACTGAGGTGTTTCCCCTTCCCTGATTGCCTCTTCAGTGTGGAACAGCTGGAGCAGATGTGTTCTGTTTGTCCTGGGTCTGTCCTGCTAGGTGGGGGCTGACGGGCTGATGCGCCTCAGTGGCAGCGCTCTGAACAACGAGTTCTTCACCCACGCTGCCCAGAGCTGGAGGGAGCGGCTCGCTGATGGTGAGTGGCTTTGCTTTCCTGAGTGCCTGGGGAATAGCTGCTCATTTTGTAGGATTTTTGGTTTTCTTTTGCAGTTAATGAGTGGGAACTTAGTACAGCTTTGCTGCATGTTGCCCTCAACTTTTTCTTTTTTTTGTTTAAAATCAAAGATACGATTTCTTTTGGTACCATGGGACCTTCAGCATTAAGTGCTAAAGGTGTAAAGTAGTGCCAGACTTATTTTTCCTTAAAAGGTGGCCTGTCTGTTAAAACATGATTTTTCCTGGAGCCATAGGCAGCATGGGGATCTGGAGTGGGATGGGGAGCAGGGTGTTAACAGCACGTCTGTCTTTCATATATTTAACTGCTGTACAGTTCAAACATTAGGTTGCATTTGCAGAATGAGTTTTGTTTGGAGCTGAATTCCAGTCTCTTGCTTCCACGTAGGTGAATTCACCCACGAGATGCAAGTTCGAATCCGGCAGGAGATGGAGAAGGAAAAGAGAGTGGAGCAATGGAAAGAGAAGTTTTTTGAGGACTACTATGGGCAAAAGTGAGAAATTTTACCATGTCTATCCTGCTTTATCCATGTTTATGCAGGTGGCAGAGTGTGTTTCTGTTTACCTGAGCAGATGCAGTCTAAACTCTGTGAAAAACACGGGTTGTGGGGTGAATTGTTCCACCTGTTGTTCTGGGAAAATCCTTGGTGGAATTGGCTGGGTTCAGCAGAATTTTGTAGCCCATCTCTTCTGTTTCCAAGAAAAGTGGATGGTATTTTCCATCACAAATTTTTGGGGTTTTTTTTTCTCATTCCATGTGATAGCAATGTGGAATGTGTGGGTTCTCCCCTTGCAGAATGAGTTAATGAGGCTTTGATGACTCTCGGCCTGTGTTGGCAGTATTCAGTAGCACTCAAATTGGGGTGAAGTGTGGAATGTGTGTGTTCTTCCCTTGCAGAATGAGTTAATGAGGCTTTGATGACTCTCGGCCTGTGTTGGCAGTATTCAGTAGCACTCAAATTGGGGTGAGCTTTAGCTTTTAGCTGGCTTCTGTGTTTGCCTTACAGGTTGGGCTTGACCCAGGAAGAATCCCAGGCGCAGAATTCAGTGCAGGAGGACGCTGAGAACAGGACAGAGCTGTCTGTTAAAGGAGAAGCAAGGCTGCCCCGCGGGCCGGCCACGCGCCAGAGGGACGGGCGCTTCCGGAAACGCTCCCGGGCCGACCTGCGGTGCCGGGCCAGGAGGAGCCTGTACAGACTGAGGGAACCTGAGCACACGGAGACTCCCAAAGAAGCTGCTCCCGTGGGGCCAGATCCCTCACTTCATAAAGAGCCAAAGCCTGAGACAGACCTGAAGAAAGATGATCTGACCAGCCCCTCGGCTGCAGGATTGAAGGCAGAGAGTACCGAACTGCACCTCTCTCCAGAGACTTCCAAATCAAACAGCAAATCAGAAGATCCATCGTTGGCAGCTACCAGCAGAATTCCCAGTTTGCCCCAGGAGAACTCTGCTCAGGAGTCCAAGGAGCAGAAGAGGAAAAGCTTTGAGGAGGCTGCCTCTGCGTCCTTCCCCGAAAAGAAGCCCCGGCTTGAAGATCGTCAGTCCTTTCGTAACACAATTGAAAGTGTTCACCCAGAAAAGCCACAGCCTACTAAAGAGGAGCCCAAAGTCCCACCCATCCGGGTAAGAAAGAGCTTTAGAGCTGCTGTATCTCAGGGCTGCCGTGCTCAGTAGTATCAAAACATTATTAAAATGTCAAGTGTTGCCATCTTAAGGGAAGGAGTCGAAGGGTTTCATTGGTAGAGCTGGTGAAGTGCCTCTGACTGCCACGGTTTGCTGTCGTATTTAGACAGGCAAAGAATGGAAAATCATCCCAAGGTCTTTGCACAAGAGCACAGGGTAACCTTGACTTACTCCCTTCATTTGCATTTCTGTGGCTACAGAAACACTGCCTGAAATGAGCTGACTGACTGCAAAAGACCTTGAAATTGTGTTCTTTATCCTGTCTAGTTTCTGAGTTCTTTTCCTTTGCTTTTGGACAGAATCTCAGTGTTCCTCCTGACTTTTTCCATTTTGACCAGGATACCCATTTTGCTTGCAGTCATCCTAGTGCAGAGAAGAGCAGTTTGATTTCTGAACACGTGAATATAAATAACTTATTTCATATTTGCCTGCAGGCTCTGATAAAACAATATTAGTGTGAACTGAGCTTTACAGATCACACTACAGAGCCGAGGTTGTAGGACCGTGCTGCTTCTCTACCCAAATTAGTTTCTCAGTTGAAATTTTTGTTGGACTTTGTGCTAAAAAATTGTGATGAGCAGTTGCCAGTAAAACACATTTCACTGGAGATGGGCAGTGTTAGAACTCACCTCGTTTCCCTTTCTTTCAGATTCAACTTTCACGTATTAAACCACCCTGGGTGGTTAAAGGTCAGCCCACTTACCAGATCTGCCCCCGGATCATCCCCAGCACGGAGCCCTCCGGCCGGGGCCGCCCCGGGGCCCGGACCCTCGCAGACATTAAGGCCCGTGCTCTGCAAGCCCGAGCCCAGCGCGAAGCCGCCGCCATCGGAGGAGGGGGTGGCCCTGGGGGGGGGAGAGGCACCGACGAAGGAGGCGGTGGAGGAGAACCCAGCGGCCGTTCCCAGCACAGGAGATCCAAGAGAGCTCACGGAAAACGTGCGTCAGATCTACAGCGAGCACAACTACAGCTGTCTGTTCATCTGAGCGGAGGGAAGGCTGACTCCAAAGGGGCTGCTCAGGAAGCCAGCGTGAATTCCTGCCTCTCTTCCAGACAAGATCACTCTTCCTCAAAAAGCGAAAGGAGCAGCGTTCCGGGCTGTGCCACGGGCTCAGGGGACAGTCAGCCTGGTGATGGGTCACCCAGGAGACCGTTCTGTGGTTCTCTGACTGTGTCATCCTTGGACAGTGCAACTCCTGAGAGGCAGGAGGAGAGTCCTGAGCAGCTGCTCCATGACCCAAGGACCGAGCTCCCATCTTGTGCTGCATCACAGGAGAGCACAAAGCTGGGATGTGTGGTTCCTGTGGTGACCAATCTGTCGTGTTCTGGGGGGCAGGGAGCTGGGGTCAGTCCCACGGGACACAGGGCTGTGGTGGAACTCGGAGATGTTGGGGCTCCCGCCATACAGCTGGATTATCCTGATGTAAAGCAAAATTCCTCCAGTTGTCCTTTTCCACCAGAATTGTCATCGGGTGTCACAGAACGCCATGATCCCGACAAGGTGTCTGGTTTTAGATATAACAACTCCCAAACATTTCTGGAAAAATGTGTTGCTGATAATACCTCCAAAACGGTGACTGTTGGAGTGAAGAAAGCGATCCCTGCAGTGTGTGATGCTGCACAGCTGCAGGCAGGGAAAGGCACTGATGGCAAACTGAGTAATGAGGAACAAAAGGCAGAGGCTCTACTGCAGCTCTCTGTGCGTGGTGACTTTATTTCTCAGAATAGGATAGATACCTCTGAAAAACTCCTGCAGCCACGGGAGAGGTGCCCCAGAACCGAACCGGAAAACGCACATCAGCCCCTGGGAGAGACTCAGGAGCTGAAGAGAAGTGGAGATGAAGAAATACAGAGTACACACAGTGAAACAACAGACACTGCTTCCGATTGGGAAGGGGACATGGCTGATGAGAATGTGGAGGTGGAGATGTGTTTCAGAAGTGTCAGCTGTAGGGAGGTGGCTGAGAAAGGCTCTTCCTGTCACAGCAGCAGTGAGAAGCGCAATGGGATTAGGTCAAAACTGTCTGTGGAGACAGAGAGTCTGGCCTGTTCTGGGGACTTGGCTGCACCCCCACCTCAGAGGTGGGGACCCCAGAAAGCCGAGCGTCCGGCCAGCTCTGCTCGGCCCGTGTCCTCCATTGAGACCAACAACCCTTTGGTGATGCAGTTGCTGAAGGGGAAGCTTCCACTGGAAGAAGTTCTCCCAGTGTCTCATGTCAACATCAAGCTGGAAATTGCACAGCCAGTGCTGCAGAAGCAGTCAGAAAGCCTCTCCCTGCAACTGGACAGAAGCAGTGGTCACTATTTTGGCAAAGAATCTTCTCCAGATGTAGGAATAAAGACGAGTGCCCAAAGCAGGAGCGATGATGTTCGCTCAGTGAGATCTTCCATAGATCCCCAGGAAAAAACCTGTGGATCAGGAGCAGCATTGCCTAGAGCAGAGGGTGCAGAGGATCAGGCTGTCCCAGAAAAACATTCCAAAGTTGGTTCGACTTTAAGCTGCCAAGACCAACTGGCAAACGTGGCAAGTGCCTCTCTGAAGTCTGAAGATGCGGACCCTCGGGAAAGAACATTTTCTGCCTGTAGCTTTGAGGAGCAGGAGTTGCCCAAGGTCCACCGGATGCCACAGCACAACCCATTAGCAAGTGTCACAGCAAGTAAAAGCCCAGAGAAGCTGAATGCCTCTACAGAGCCTCGGTTTTTATCTCCAGCTGTAACTTCTCTTGGACCAAACCAGACAGGAGGTGCATTACTCAATAAAAATTATGGTGGGGTTCAAGGCAAAAAGCTCTTTGGTTCTGGTTTTCCTTCCAGCCCCAGCGTGAGGCTGCATCACTCCAGGGCTTTGGAACACAGTTCGGCCATGGAAACCTTGTCCCCTGGCAAACAGATTCCCTTGGACAAGGGCTGTGCACTGGGAGAAGGAATCCCAGCTGCCAGGGAGGAATGGACTTCAAAGCAGCACAGCAGCAACCCTGGAGGGATCAGAAGTGAGAAGGTGCTGGTGTGTGGCAGCCCAGCCAAGAGTAATGCAGAGAACCGGGGGGATGTGGCCCAGCAGCCCACGGAACTGGCGGGGCACACACAGAGAGAGCCACTGGTCATGGACTGGCCCTTCTTTAAGTTTTCAAGGGATCCAGGAAAAGGACAGTGTCACCCTTTGGAGCCTTCATCCATCCCCTCTCAGCTCAATATCAAGCAAGCGTTTTATGGGAAGCTTTCAAAGCTGCAGCTTAATTCCACCAGCTTGAATTATTCATCCAACACTGCGGCTTTCCCCCGAGGCCTTGCTGGGAGCGTGGTGCAGCTCACCCACAAAGCGAACTTTGCTGCGAGCCGGAACGCGGCCCTGGCTGTGCAGATGTTTGCTGACAGCAGCAGCGTCGACGAGATCTCGTTCCAGTGCTCGTGCAGCCTCAAAGCCATGATCATGTGCAAAGGCTGCGGCGCCTTCTGCCACGACGACTGTATAGGACCCTCTAAGCTCTGTGTATTGTGCCTTGTGGTGAGATAATAAATTATGGCCATGGGACAGGTTGTATATTCAGTGTGTGTATTTTGATAACGACTGATCCTAACGCCTGTACACAAAGTACACGAAGTACTCTCTGTTCATAGTAGAAACGCTGTTACACTTTGTTTTGGTGAGGAACGTTGAGCTGCCTTCCCACGGAGGTCGACAGTGCAGAGCTCATTCCTGCTGATGGCGACACCCTGTTCTGGGTGGGCTGTGTCCCATGGGAGCGATCCTGCTGCTTCCTGCTGTCATGGAAATTCCAGCTGTGCTCTGGTATCGCACTGAGGCTGACGCCGGGGGGAGAGGCCGTTCGCTGTGGCAATCCCTGGACCTTCTGTGGAGGAAATCCTTGCATCCAAAGGAACTGGAAGATGGTATTTGCTATTTCAGGGCTGCACAAGGTGAGGCCCTACAGTCTTCCACTCTCCCTTTCTGCCATCTCCATTCCCGGTTTGTGTGGGAAGTGCTGCTGTGCAGTGAGTGTAAGCAGAAGAGCTGCTCTGCAGGGATGGTCCCATGCAATCTTTGGATGCTGCAGCAGGATGTGGTGCCCTGGGATGTGCTCTGCAGGTGGTTCTGGAGCCGTGTACAGCCCACCATGGGCCACATGGAACACACGTGGAGAATGCAAGAAGTGGAAAAAAAATCTCGGGGCAAGTGCCAAGCAAATGCCTTCTGCTGGCCTGCAGGAAGCTGTGTGGCCAGGGAACTGTTCCTGGCTGAACTGGCCCAGCGGCTGTGCCTGCCTCCTTTGGCCAACTTCCACAAACTGCTGTGGAACACTGGAGGTTCCCTGGAGCTCGGTGATAGGGTCAGTGAGCTCTGCACTGCAGCTTTGTGGTGAGGACCTGAAACCCCACAGTAGCTGAGCACCTGCGAGCATCGAGCTGTGCATCTGTGTGACCATCACCTAACATTTAAAGCAGTGTTCTTTCCTCTTTTTTATTTTCCTTTTTTTTATATATTTTCATTATTGGATGTATAAAGTGAGTTATTTGGCTCCTGTAAGTATCCTCTCTGCATCTGTTTGATCATATATTTATATGTTGTACACAGTACTGGCCAACTCTGTAAATGGATGTAATGTACATAGAGCATAAAGGGGTCTTTTTTTTTCCTTGGATTTCCAGGCTCTACAGCAGTATTGCATTAAAGTGGTGTTAGTTATTGTCAGAGCCACTGTATTCCGTCTTGCCTGACGTGAGGCTCACCACACTGGGCTCTTGGTTCCAGCAGCCTCCCCGTGCCCGAGGTGCCCGGGTGGACTGTGCTGAGCAGGCTCAAGGATGACCAGGTGGGATTTGCTGAGCCGAGCTCACTCCCCGGTTGCTCATTTTAGCTCTTGCCAGTTGTTGCTGCACCTGAGCTCCCAGGGCATGGCTGTACCTGCACTGCAAGGAGGTGAATGAACATCCATGTGCATCCAGAGAGGGAGAGCAAAACTGCAATTCTCTTCCTCTTTGGAGCAATTCCTAAGCAAGAGTTAATTGCTTCAGTGAGGGGGAGAAGCCGCTGGCTTATTCAAGCGGGCAGTAGCAAGAATTTTAGGGAGTTTATTTTCATTTTTTTCTTCTCGTCCCTTTTCCAGCTCCATCCTACCTCCCTTCACCATGCACTTTCTTTCAGCCGTGCAAGTTCCTTTTTCAGCCACAATCGTGAGGGGTGGAACAAGTTCAGTCCCCGAGATGTTTTTTATCCTCAGTGCATCCACCAGCCTCATCCCACGAGAATGAGAGCCCGGTGCAGCGGCACCCCGGCCTGGGCAGGGCTGCGGTGCCCCTGGGGGCGAGCAGAGGTGTGGAACCTGCTTACCAAAGATGGGGAGCGGAGCAGGGGGCTGGCTCTGCCTCCTGGGGGGCCACTGCAGTGTTCAGCTCGGACTGGTCTGGGGGGCAGAGCCCTCGGGGGGGCCTGCTCGTGTCTGTCCCTTGTGCTATTGGAAAAATAAACACTGTAAAATCTGCTTGTGTGGTTTCAGTCCTTTTTCTGAAATCCTCCTCCATTCTAAGGCAGTGTGGCTTTTCCTTTCCTCTCTTTTAACTGCAGCTGTTCCAGAGCTCTGCTCAAGTCACTGTGGGGAGGGGCTGTGTTGCTGCTTGGCTTTGTTAAATCTGGTTTTATGCACTTAGAGAGCACTGAAGATGGTGCAGCTCCTGCAGAGATGCCGTGTGGCTCTTGGGGAATGGACACCCTGGGTGCTCTGAGAGCCACGGGGGGCTGAGGGACACTGCAGGGACACAGTCACAGGGGCTCCCTGCCCTGCTGGGGTGATGCCTGTGGGCAGCAGCACTGAGACTTTTCCCAGTGCCAGGGCAGGTCCTGCTGTTACTGCCGTCATTGCTGGATAAATGGATCTAAAAATGTTTCTCAAGAGCATAAATGTGATATCAATTACAGTTTATTGAAACAACTTGGAAACTCACTTTATGGCCAAGTCCTTTCTCTTTTTTGGGCAGTAAGGAAATAACATGAATTATGATGTGATGTGTCTGGGCTCTGCAGGGTGAGCAGGGATCTCCTGCCTGGGGCTGTGGGAGTGCTGAGATCCTCGTGGTGACACAATCCCTGACTTCCTGGCATTCCACAGCGCTGCCATTGCAGAACAGCAGTGATGGCCTCACACACCAGCCAGGGCTGGGGCAGCAGATGGTCTGGCACCAGCATTTGGGGTGAAAAAAGGCTTCTGTGGTTTTTGGTGGTTCATTGATGTTCTGACTCTGGCAGGCTGTCTGCACACAGAATACCTGGATAATCTGAGTAAGCTAAATACAGGGAATGCAAAAAATGAGTCGAGTTGTTGCTTAGCCAAGCTTTAAAACTCAGTATTAAATCCTTCCCTGTTTTATTGGGGTGGGGGGTGATGGCATCAGGGTTAGCTACCTCTGGAATAGGGGAGCTTGGGTGTTTCAAGAGTAAAACCCATTAACATCAGAATTTCACAAAGAGCAATACTTTTTTCCTTTTTTTCCTCTCTGTGATATCTGTGTGCCAAGTAGCAGATTTTCTCTCTCCCAGCCCGGCTGCTGTTTGGCTCTGGCTCTGCCGTGCTTGGCGGGGCCATCTGCAGGCATGGGGACATCCTGAATCAGCCTGGCCAGGGGGCTCGGGAAGCCTCAGCAGGTGATGCCAACTGGTTTGCACCTGGTGTGGCCCAGCACTGCTTAGCCTCTCCCATGCTCCTTTGGAAATCTGGGAGCAAAGCCCAGCCAGAGGCTCAGCCACAGACCTGACGGTGTCAGGGACACAGGGCCACTGGTGCTGTGCTGCCGGACATTAATGAATTCTGTGAATGCTCCGTTTGGGATGTGCTGTCCCAGGTGATCGTTTACAAGCACGAATATCCGGGTGGATCCTCCTGGCCTCGCTCCCGGCCGCAGCCGCAGCAAATCCCGGGAAGGGGGAGCCCACCCGCCTGCCCCGCAGCATCCCCACCCCCCTGGGCAGCTGCATTTCCATGGAAGCTGCAAACCCCTCGGACCCTCTGGGTCTCCTGATGCTCAGACCAGGAGATGGTATCTATACAGCGCTTGAAGAGGAACATTTATGGATGCAAAGGTTTATTATACTTAGTGAATAAAGCTGATAACGAAAAATCAGTATTTTCCATGAGGGAGAACTTTGCACAAACTTCAATGAAAACTTTTTTTTTTCTTTTTTTCTTTTTTTTTTCTCACAAAAACCAGACACTTCACAAAATTAATTTTGTCAAAATATAAGTTAAGCATAAAACTGGTGCCTTGCCCCCTTTGTGAGTGCTGCCACTGCTCTCTCTGGTACCCACGCTGTCTGTTACGGAATGGAAAGCACAGCTTATGTCAACAGGAATGAGAGATGTTTTGGTTTGGTTTTTTTTTTTTTTCTTCCTTTTAACACCCAAATTTAGATCCCGCTCTGGTGACTGATGGCACCAACCTCTCGCACAGGGCCTGGGGCGAGGGGCAGCGCTGGGGCCAGCAGCACCCAGCGGGGCTCGACAGTGGAGGAGAAAGCCCTTTTTGTTATACAGTGTTTATTAAGTAGATTCAGTCTTATATATGATATACAGATTCAAAAGAAAAAAAAAAAAAAGGATTCCACATACTTATGAAATCAGTGCATTTAGCAAGTAATACCATGGAGATAACAGCTCGATTAACAGCTCATTGGTCTTTGTTAAGTGAGGGGACAGGGAGTTGGCCTGTGCTAATCATTCCACAAACAGAACAGAATTAAGTTGCATCACATATATAATAGACACACATTCTAAGAATTAAAATATTAAGCCACATTTACTGGAAAAATCCACAGTATATAACACAAATAACTCTTATCAAGCTCGTTGAGGAGGAAGTGCTCATCTGCTTAAGAGCCACATGAAGTTGCATAGGTGCCTATCTGCAAAAATATCATTTCCAAAGGAATCAATTGATTAAGCAATAAAGTGTCACCTTAGAAGCTGGATTAAGTGCCATACGCTTTCTATGTGAGCCCTCGGGAAAGCAGCAGCTTCCCAAAGAGCCTCTTCTGCCTCGCTGGGAGCCTCCCGCGGGACCGCGCTCCCACCTCCACCCCAAGCAGCAGCCGGCTTGGGCGAGCTCACCCCCTTCCCTAAAGCATTCCCAATTCTGCTCAGGAGTCTTTTCCCCCTGGGCCCCTGCATCAGCTGGACCCTACGGGCAGCACCGCCCTCCACCCGTGTGGGAGGAGGAGGAGGATGGGGAGGCAGCAGCACTGCCCAGATCTGGTGCTTCAGAGCTCCGGATCAGCTCCCGATTGGAATCGCAGCCGATCCGTAAAACTACCGGGGGGGGGGGGGGGGGGAAAGAATACAACAGCTTGTGCAAAACCCAAAATTGCTAAAAGGGTGTGTGGGTTTGGTGGGGTGTCCCTGGGGCGGGCGCGGGCGGTGGGGGGGTGAGGCTGTGGCTGGGTTAAGCAGACGAACTGGGTGAGGGGCAGCTTCCTCTTCAACAGCAGGTCTGGCAGAACACACGGGGTCGGGAGTTCTGTACATGTAAACAGTACACTTTCACTGAGTCCAAAATTAGGAGCAAAAATACAAAGGTTCACATTGGTCTTAGGTAGATACAGGCGAAGAACTGAGCTGTGCAGCTCCGAAACAACCGAACAAAAGTTTCTAAAGCACCACTAAATTATATAAAAATCAGACCATGGACGGATTGTAGTTGGTGTCTGGTGAAATACTATGCTACCTTGTAAAAAGTTTTACAAAAAATTACAAATCAAAAGTATATTAACCCTCTGAGTTCAAAGCAGCATTTTTTTTTTTTTCATGAACTGGTACTAAATCCGACGGCCGCTCCGGGAGGGAAGTGGCCCTTGGGATCGGGGAGGTACAAGTTACATCTGCTCACAACCCTGGGAACGCTCTCCCATAGAGAAACAGCGTCATGGGAACCGCACATCCAGGGCAGCTATGGGTGTGTTGGAATAAAATAAAATTTAAAAAAAATAAAAATCTCTTGTTTTCGACCAGTGATCAGCTTTTCTTAACCAAACCCAAGACCATCCAGACTATTTGCTAACCCAGCATTCTCCTTCCACCTCTCAGATATCTGGAAAGCCGGTGTATTCTGCTCCTGCTTGTTCCTTCTTGTTGAGAACCTGGACTAGCAATTCCTGACCCCGTCCTGCCCAGTGAGAGTGCAGGAATGTGGCTGTGAACAGTCCTGGAGCACAGGGAGCCACGGTGGAGCACGGAGCAGCTGCAGAGCTGGAGATGTCTGTGGAGCTCATGCCAAAGGAACCAGAACGCTGTGGCTCACAAAAAAAAGGAAAAAAAAAAAAGGGAAAAAAAGGGGAAAAAAAAGGGAAAAAAAAAAAAGGAAGGCTCTGGAAATTCGGAGTCAATCCCGTTTGTTTTACAACTTGTCCCAGATGTGGCTGTCAGCAGGGCTTTGGGAATCTGAGTCTGTACCATTCAGCTGCAGGTTATGAACATCAGGTGCTGGGACAGGGCGGTGTTGGGCACCCTCCTTCGGTGTCCTCTACAGCAGTTTGACCAGGTGTGAGAGCTCCTGAACTTCCACATGTGCCGAGACAGGTTCAGAGGTGATCAGGAATGACTTGGATAAATAAAACTTAACCCAACTGTGGCTGTTGGTGGTCTGTCCATGTGCCCCCGGGTTACCTCTGTTTCAGTACAAACTGATGGCAAACTTATGGCTAAAGGTTCCTCTGCCTCTGCCGAGGAGGGAGGCACCGGCGTGCGTGGGAGACCACGGAGAGGGAGAATCCCGGGACAGCGATTGTCTCTGCCTCTCCTGCCTGAACGGTAAGACTTTTCACAAATGGCTGCAGTTACAGATTTTGTCAAAGGTTTGTTACTTCATGGTATTCACACAAAAATAAATATTTACATAAATTCCAAGTATGGGAGGATGCAGTGGACAAACCAAGCAGGCTTCTGAAGTGCTGGGGAAAGCGTTAAGTCTGAGCCCTGGCTGGGGGCTGGCGTCCCCGGGGCCCCCTCCCCACGCAGGAGGGGATGGGTGTGGCCACGATGCTCCTGGTTCCAGCATCGGGTCAGGTCTAAGAGCCACCATCACCTCGTCTCTGCACCGACCCCTCAGCTGCACCCCGCAGCGAGGGGCTGGGTCCCTTTTCTCCAAATGCTATGGGAAGTTTAAGGTTTGGGGAAAACAGTCAATGCAATGGTTGATCCCTTCTGCTGTGGGGCCAGGCACACCTGGCCTCAGGAGCCAGCAGTTTTTACTGTTCTGAGACTAAAAGCAGGGTAAAGTTTTGTTTTTCTTCCAGTGTGTGGAGCATCATGGGGTGCAGAGGGTACAGGGGAACTGCCCGGGCCTGCTCCTGGCCGGACCAGTGGCTGCTCAGGCCTGTGCCACCAGCGCAGCCCCCGGAGCAGCAGCCCCCGGCTGCTGGCTCCGAGTGGCCAAAAAATGAGATAAAAACTGGCTCCAAACCAAGAAAGTTTCTACCTACAAAACAGCTTTA